TCATAAAGTTGTGAAGAGTGTTCGATGCCATAAGTGCTTCTTTTCGCATAACAGACTCCAAAGACATTGTATCATCTTCGCTGTCATCATCTGCATTGTTCTCAATGATAGTACCCACAATATCTTCTAAACTCTGAACCTCCGAACATGCTTCATTTTTGTCGCAACCCGAAAATTTTCGATCTTGCGACTAATGGTTTAAACATCCTTTTAAAGATCTCATCAATTAAGGAATGCCCGGACACCAGACTAATCCTTAATCAATGGTTTTGAAAATAGGTTATATGGAGTCGCCACCAATGTTTTACTCAAAAACATTGGAAAAAGAAAAGATTTTTTAAAAGATCCAATAATGGCCTTGATAACCAGAATTGGGTTCGGGGGTCGGTTACGTGTAAGGAAGGTATTAAGCACTCTTACAACGCCCTAAATCGGTACCCTATGATGAAGTTAATGCGATAAGAAATAATAAATTAAATATTATATCCCCTTTTATTGATGATTATTTACATGATTTAAAATTTAAATTAACAATTGACTCTAAAATATCTACATGATTGCTCTTATTATAAACAATATTTATCAAATGTAAGAAATAAAATAGAGAGAAGAAAATTGATTTGAATACCTCTTGAACGAGCTCTATTAATCTTCAAAGATGGAGATTTGGGTGCTTTTTGGCAACCCTTCACACTACAATGCCTCACAAAAATCTCAAGAAATACAAAAAGAGAGGGGAAGAGAGAAAAAGAGAGAAATTTCGAGCTATAGAATATATATATATATATCTTCTTCGTTCAAATGTTAGTATCATGTTCTTGTGCTTAATGCTTGTATGGAATGATCAACTATTACATGATTTGTGATTACTTTTGGTGTGGGAATATCATTGGTAATCTTGTTTGAGAATGTGGTACCTAGTAAACATGTGTCTAGGAATGGAACATGATTTACTTGTTGTTTGGAGCCCTTTTACTTAATGCAAGTGGATTTATTGAAGTATTCTAGGGATTGATATTTCATAATGAAACTTAGGCTCTTTTAACCAAGGAATTGGAACTAGAGTAAATTAGTGGGATAACATTAATGTTTGAATGGGAAGGAATGTTTCTTATGCATGAGATTAAAGTTGGTGAAGTCTAACCCTAACATTTCATTCATATAAGTTAATTTTCAAAACTACATTCCAAGTGTTTGATGAAAGTTCACTTTAGTTCATTTGCTCTTTTTAACTTAATTTTGTAGGGTTGAGTTAGGCTTAATCCACTATTCTAAGACGGAGAGGTTGATATACATGTTTTCATATTAATATAATATTATTATTTTAAGTCTAAATTTTTATAGGTTTATTTTTAATCGTTATTCAAAAGATTTTTTAATTAATAAGGATATTTGTGTGTTTATAAATTTATGTTTTTCTTCTTATTCTAATAATGTGTAACTTTAATTATATTTCAACAGAAATCATATTTGTAAGACCGTAAAAGATAATGGTCTAAGTATTCAAGTTGTTTTTCGAACTTCTAATGTGAATTAATTGGGATAAATAGTTGATTTCTAACTTATTAGAGAATCCCTCATATATATATATATATATATATATATATATATATAATTAACTTCCATAAATTTATATTAATTTGATTTTTATGTCTATATTTCATTTCTTTTCTTTCAAGGGTCGTCAAAAAATTCCTGCAAACTTGTTGATATATGTTCCTTTTGATTTGGTTTTAGCAAAGAAATTAAATTTTTGTTGCTTTGGATTTCAATTTTCTTTCATTCTCATATCATTGAGTTTATCCCCCGGAAGCAATAAGGTGACATGACAATTAATATAGTTGAAAATGTAGTGTTTTATAATATATATAGTTGTTGATTGGGTGGCTGAATATTAAATAGAGATCTTAAATTTTGGAGGGTGAAATTAAATGTTGATACCAGTGGTTGAAACAGCAAGGTAACATCTTTGCTTTCGTCCTTTTAATTTTGGGAACAGCATATGGTGCAGCAGAAAGCAAAGAAATTTAGGTGCATGTGTGGTTGCTCTTGAAGCTGCATTATTTCATTTGAAAATCTGGTGCAATGGGTGGGGGCACTGAGAGCGGGGAAACGCCATCGTGGGGTAAGACGAAGACTTACATTTAAGATTTGAGATAGCAATAAACACTGTTACTGTGAAGTTGTAGAATTTCATCAGCCTCACATAATGATAGTATATATATATATATATAAACCAGCTTCCTATAAACCTTTCATGTCGGCTACAGTTACAGTACTCTAAAGGAAATTAGTCTTTAACCAAATAAGCTAGGAATAATAAACCAGCTTATCCGTTTCTGCTTAATTATTCAATTAGTTCTCTGTTTATTCTTAATCATGTGATTATGTCTTCATGTGTTCGCAAATATAAAAGTGCCTTGATGGCAATTAATCAGTACTGTTTAGCTGTTGTACGTTCTTTTCATCATACCAATCCAATCCTACCCTCCTGCATTAAGATAATGATCAGTGTGTTTCACAAGTCAATTTTAATAATGTATAAATTGATTTTTTATAAGTTAATTTTTGCGAGGCTATGCTTTATTTAGCTGTGAATGTGATCCCTGACCGTGGGTTGTAGTTTGAGATTTGGCCCCTCCCACTCATTGAATTTGATCCTTTCATACAGTGAATTCTGCATGCATCATGCATGTACTATATATAAATAATTAAATATGGTGTGCCACGTGTCGCGGGGTTACCATTCTTTAAGTTTAAATAATGCATGATACTGAGCCTGCCTTCCTGTCCCTAAAGATACTAAACACTGTTTACCTGACTTCTTTCTTTCTTTATTTTTAGTTTTTTAATGGTAAAAGCTCTCCTAATCTATTTTAAAACTCTCACTTTTTAGGAATTACTTTTACATTCCAGATTCTTTTAGCTTCGAAACTGTGTTGAGTAGGCTATTTCTATGGCAATTTTTTTTAAAAGAATTCAGTGAATAATGATACTTAAAAATAATTAATATAAAGCATAAGAATTAAGATAAATATTTATTATATAAAAACATAAGAATTATTTAAATTTTTAAACATATTCTAAATTAAAATATTAAGATAACTCGATAAATAATCTTTTCAGTTGTTTTATGTATCTTTTTTTTTTTTTAAGGTTTTGGTTCATAGATTAAGAAATAAAATTCATATTTTTTAGTTTTTTAAAATCATTTTAAACTTATATATAAGCACTTTTAAACTTATTATTAAATATTTAATTCTTTATAAATGATCGGAAACAAGTGGCAAAGTGATCTACAGTTAGATATCCTCTTAACTTTCGAACTTTTTTAACACTGAAATAATTGATGACTATTTAAGATTTCTTAGTGAATATAATTGAAAAATTATAATTAATATTATCTTAAATTTCTAAGTAGATAGATAATAGAAGTTTTTTTTTTCTTTCTTTTTAAATGAACATATCAATAGCAAAAGAGGAAATACTATACCTAGATTTAGAAAACTTGTATTATTTTTTTAATACTTTTGTACAATAATGTTTATATTATTTCCATCGTATGGATTATCTTATCTTCTAATTTTGTCTCTTTTCTTTCATCACTATTTGTTACAGAAAATAATTATATAAAAAATTGTAGTATAAGTTTTTGATTTAGAACAAGCAAATGCCTACCATGGAGTCTGGAAAGGTGCTTTTGTTGGAGTTATCAGTACGTGGCAGTCAAGTTGACCGTTTGTTGTTCAATGTTCATAAAGTGATTATCTTTAAAATCATTCTGAAAAGTTGATGTGCTTAGCCATGTTTTATGTAAGCAAATCATACAAAAGTGCCTTTGTGGGCACTCTTTGTTAGCCCTTTTTAAAGTTGAGTTCAATATTTTTGTGTTTTTTAACTGGCACACTCTTAGCTCATTGGCTATTTTGCATTTTCTTTCCATTGTTGCATTAATCCTACCCTGCTTTTAGGTAACGGGTGAAATTGATTCTTCCCTGGATACTTTATTGGTATTAACTTTACTGCTTGCCATATTAGATTATTGTAATTTGCAAGTTATTTAATTAATTTTATAATATACTCAACTCCATGTGTTGTGCCAGACTGTAAGATTGTACCTGTCGTTGGGTATATAAAAGACAGGATCAACGATGGTCAAATTCGTCATAATCTTTAAGAGGTTGTCGTGCTCATTAGTTAAATATTGTATTTACTTTTCATCATTGCGAGCCTACCCTTCTTTAGATAATGGGTGAAATCGAGCTTTAGATACGTTCGTACATGCATCCTCTCATGTTGAATCTTTACTTGATGAAAATTTTGTGTTTATCTCCCTCTTTATAGAGATAAATAGAAAAGGTCATATTAAAAGTTAAAAATTATATACATTTTAAAAGAAAGAGATAAGGACAAAAATAGTCATATAAATATAAGAGAAATGTCAAGTAAGAGTGAGAGGATAATCTCCACCATTATATTTTTATTATAAATATAAATATTGATTAAATAACTTTCAATTCTAATTATTTGTGTATATTTTGTATCATCTAAGTGTTAATCTCATATACATTAAATTGATATAAAAAATCAATATATATGGAGTTAATAGACTCATAATATCTACATTAACAATTTAATTTATATTAAACATATATAGACTATAACTAAAGATATATAATCTCAACGTTTTACGGAGTATTATATTTATTTTTGCGTTAGTTGATGATGTTAGAATTGAAGAGTCATGATCAATTAGTCTCTTGCTTACCATACATGTGGTATGTTTAATCCTCCGACGGCCTTAGGAATAATACTTTTATGAATAGAGACATATGAACAAGTTAATACGTATCAATCCAAAGAATTTTTTTCATATATGCCAAACCGCTGATAGATTTTTAGGTGTACTCTAGATGTTAACTAGGAGAATATTTTATGATCATTAGTCTCTTACACACACCCGTTTGGAGCCGCATTTAATTATCATTAATAACATCCGATTTGTTGTCAACATTGCCTTTCAGACGAAACGGACATTTCATTAATGTAGGATAAGCACACTACATACTTGAGCATTATACATGGCTAATATTCCTGAAAGTTGATACACGACGACTAGGCTAATAACACCATGTTCTACGTATGGTATTATGAATATACACGATAGACGTGGAACATGAGATAGATCCTCCATGACAAGACATTCAAGACGATGTTGATGTTGGTGGTGTACACGTTCAAAACATATATGTATTGTTTAATTAATTTCTTCACACCAAGCATCGGTGGCTGTTTTTGGCATCTTGATCATTTCCACCAATGCCTTGGCGAATCTTGAATGAGAGGGAGGATAGTGAAAAAGGGAAACCAGGGTGTTCGGTGTCCCTAATCACATTGTAAGACCATGCTGCTAACACTGCCCCAGTAATCGGTCCAACAAAATATACCCAAAGTCCCTTGTATGATGAAGTTGCAATTGCAGGACCTAATGTCCTTGCTGGGTTCATTGATCCCCCTGATATTGGTCTGTATAAATGGACAGCACAACAATAATTTTCAAAACATAGGTTTCTGCATGTCATGATGTATATGTCTCTTACTTTCAACTCAAGATTCCTCAATATGTAGGCTTTGGCTAATCTTGAGTACTCTCTCATTTTTTTTACTCTTTTTTTTTTCTTTTTTTCTTTTGCCTGTGGTCACATGTAATTCCTGTAATGCAAAATTGTGCTTGTGTGTACATGTGTATGTGTATGGATCACATTTTTTTTTTCCTGAACTTACCCGGCAACAATGCTTGCTATGCAAACAGAAGAACCTACTGCTACTCCTGACAGCTGTCCTGTCTGAAACCAAATAACAACATTTTAATATCAGGGTCAGGGGTATGTATGTTTGAGTATATTCATGTTTGCTGACTTTGTATTTTGATGATGTAATTGACAATTCTTAAAAACAAATTATTCCAATTGAAAAAAAATTAAAACCAGTGAAACAAATTTATATTGAAATTTAGAAATTCCAGAATTAGCAAAAGAATAATAAATTTCACTAAATCATGGAATTTTAGGAGTGTTTTTCTTATTTATAGAATTTCCAATAAGTTAATGCAATTCTTACAGCGTTTGTGTCAGTGGCCACGGCCATGGAGATGAACACCATAGTGAAAGTGGATACCATTTCCATGATTAGTGCTTGAATGTGTGATCCAGCAGGTGAAGTTGCCCCAATTTCCTTTGATGGTTGAAACAGCTCTCGCAATGTATATGAAGCAGAAATGGCTCCAGTGAGTTGAGCTGCTATATAAAATGGGACCTGCAACCAAATTAATGTTATTTCTGTAGGGTCCAAAACAACAACTTAACTAGTCCTCAAAATGACTCGGCTAAATTGCTAAAAAATGAGATGCCCAAGAATTTTACTTTGCCCCAATTTCCTTATCTGCAAAGAATTTATTTTTTAAGTTCAAGTCTTTCTGAATTCTTTGTTGACAGTGTCATTTTGCCATTCTTGTCTTCTTGTGTAGGCTCCTAATATAGTTAAACCTATTAAATTACTTCTCACAAAATACAAACAACAATGCAGAACTTAGCAAGAAATTAAATTATCACATGAGTACAAGGGAGAGTGGTTATTCTTTTAATATAAATTAATTTATTGCATTTTAGTAACAAATATCATGATTAAAATAAATATTCTTTCACTAAATAATTTTTTTAATCTGTGTAAACAATAAGTAGTAAGTACGGTCATTTATTCTGCATTATCTCGTGGCAGCAGGGTGGTTCAAATCGTCATCACTTAAGGTAGGGACTAGATTCATAAGGCATTTATGGACCACATCCTTAATGAATATTTCAGATTGTTTCTGGCTACAAATGCATACACATTACTCTGGGTCCATGGTGAGACGTGAACTTGACCAGTACCTGTTTTTTCCTTTGGCAGACCCTTTTTGACGCAGACTTGAAAGTCACTCTATTTAGATATTTTTACAATTTTATAAATATGCTACTCAATGGCTTACACAACAGTTTATGATGATTTTTTTTTTTTCATTTTTTGTGCAATTATCATTTTCCTTCTTTAAATATACCAATCATAAGAAATGGTGGATAATATTTATATCACCACCTAATAACATATAGCAGGTAGGTATACATTATTGTGTACATGGTCGTATCTCTGATTATTTTAATCATTGTATTATGATTGTGTTAATTATACTAATTTATAATTAATGTCATATTCGTATTAGGGGGAGTTTTGAAATAAAAGGTGTGGTGAGGGACTGAAGCACTGGGTCAACCTAACTAGTTCGTATGCACCGTGTATTTGAGGATTTAATGAAATATATTAACCTTGAATTATTAGTCATTAACAATGGCACAACTTACGGATGTTACGTGTAAGAATCATAGACTGACAAATCAAATTAGTTTCTGGTTATATTGGAAAATCAGTGAGCAGACCAAGTATCAACTCCATTACATTTTAAAAGAGACCAAAACTTAAGATATGATTTCATAGACGATATTTATACTGTCTTTTAATTGAAATTGAAATTTCAGTTTGACAATTCGCGTGATAAAAAGTTTCATTAAAGTAGTATGCAAATTTTAAGCATAAATTTTTAACTATAATCGAAAATTAATTAGTATAAGCATCAATCAACAAACTATACATACATAGGTTGCCTGTTTAGAAACAGTATAAGAATGGGTGAAAACTGAAAACCCAACTATTGGTCTAAATGGTCCTAAAACAATGGTGAAAAATATGTTTTAACGAATTATTTTGTATTTTGTAATTAAAAACATATATTTAACTTTAACCATTGTCAGTTTAGTTATAATTAAAGTAATAGTCTATTAATCAATATATATTCACTATTTCAACAATTAAACCAAACTCAACACGCCTTTAATTAGCATTATTTTCTTAATTAGTCTAACTATATTTAACAATCTTTATCTTTTCTACAACAAGCTTGAGTAAAAATAAACTCAAATTCTTTTAAAATTATATCTTAATTTATATGGATAAAAAAGATGGTTGCAATAATAAGATGCAAAACCTTATTAGAGATAATCAACAAAATAAAAAAAGAAAAAAGGGTTGTCATGAGAGTACGAAAACAACCAAAAAAAGGAGTGGTGAGTAATGCATTGTGGTGTGGATGGATTGAATGAAGGACGTGTGGAAAATAAATATGAAATATGCATAGGATATATGAAAATATAGTAATAATAAAGACGGTAAAAGGTGGAGGGTAGACAGTGGTGGAGAATGATTAAATAATATAGGGACTGAAACTGAACACTCACCTGTGGCCAGGGAAAATGCCTGACGGCTGCAAAAGCGAGGGACACCGCTGGGTTCATGTGTGCGCCAGAGATGTGGCCAATGGAGTAAATCATGACCGTCACTATGAGCCCTCCCGCGAGTGAGGCTCCAAGCTTCGACACCTTGCTTGCATCGATAGCACTCAGCCCCGCAGACCCACTCCCCACAAACACCAACAGAAATGTCCCTATAACCTCCGCAAACACCTTCACGCACCAAATTAAGACAACTTAGATTAGACTCAAAACCAACATCCTATGTTGTTCATTTTATTTATTACTTACCTTTCTGGAAAAGCCAGGGGGGTAGCACTCTGCGAGTCTGGCGAAGGAAAAAGCAGGGGATGATGAGGATGATGCCTCCGGGTCAAGGGTGCTTGGACTTGGGGGCTCAAGCGTGTTAGCCATGAAGCTAAACGTGTTTTGGTTGCTCCCCTCCATTGTTTATGGACCTATATCTCACTAAATCAATGTGATCTATATGTTGCCTACGAGTGGCAATAACTGGCAACCATTCTCAATGATCAATGGTCCTTTTATAATCTCCCAAGTCTGCCTCTACTTCTCTTCCACATGCTCACTACCTACGCTCACATTTCGCTTACGTCATCCCCCCTCATATTCACCCTTCTCTCTCTCTCTCTCTCACGCACGTTTCAACTCTGCTTCAATCTTCCCTACATGCTTAACCAATAACCACTTTTCATCATTTTTAATTTCATTTTATTTCAACTTATACACCCAACTCTTCTCAAATAATCACTTTTTTTTTACATGTCATTTAATCTATTTTGCTATTTAAAGATATAAAAATGTAAGTAGAAGACTTGTACTCTTCATCATCCCGTTGCTCCAATAATATCTAATATTCTATAGCCTCATGATTTGCTTTTATATCAATATACTAACACAGTCATCGATACCTTAGTAAATTATGTGAAATATCTAACATAAAATAAATTTAAATGCAATTGGTCTATAAATTAATAGTATAAAAAAATCCCTCAATTTCACAACAATACTATTTTTTTTTAACTGATTCGAGTTTAGGGAAGTTGACATTTCCATCTCACTTAATGGCAATTGAATTCAACTCTGGGTATAAAATGTTTTATATCGTAAATTCATTAAAGATTATCATAAATATTATAAAATTTAATAAATTTTGTTATAGGATAATTTATGATCGAATACCAAATGTAAAATAGTGTATAATGACTAATTTCTTATATGAGTTTTTCTTTAGAAGAAATATCTATTTCGTAAAAGTCTAATCGCCACTAATAAATTAATTTAATGTTTTAAAACGAAATAGGGCAAGTCCTCGACGGGAGATAAGACGTACGAGGGAAACTAAACCACGGGATAATGATATTTTTCTTAATTAATAATATAATGAAGAGGAAGTTGTGGACAATAATATCCTTTTCGAATAAGTTTAGGAACTAGATACAAGAAGGAAACAAGGGGGAAAAGAACATATAAAGAGACAAAACTGTTTTGGATTTTTAGTTTGTTTTAAATTAAAGTTGTTGTTTTATTTTTAATTAAAGTGACCTTCATTGTTAAAGTTAAATTTTAATTTTGGCTAAAAATAATATTAAAAATATTTTTTGGAAACTCTCTTATATTCTTTATTAATCATAGTAGAGTTTTTTTTAGTTTGAACGACTTGAGATTTTTATTTTTTATTGAAGGGTTTTCACGTTAAATTTTTTTACATTTTTTATACGTTTAAGTTATCTATTTTTGTTTTATTTTTTTTTTGTGCTCCTCGATGATTCTTATAAGTAAAAAGATTTAATTTCTATCGTGTTATTGTTTTTTTTTAAATTTTTATGGAGTTGTTGTTGTGTTACTTTTCCCATACAATAATACTAAAATAGATTCAATTTTATCCTAAATAAGTTAAAACGATATCAAGTTGTGTTTAGATATAAATCCATACTTAAAGTTAAAATGATATCAAGTTGTGTTTAGATATAAATCCATACTTAAGATTTAAATCAAATATATACGTGTATGTTTGTATATATGTGAGAGAGAAGAGATTCACTTACTCCAAAAGTAAATCTACTTATACTTATTCCACTCAAAAACTTATATTTTATATTAAATTTTAACGATTCAATAGTTAAACTAAGAGTTCTTAATGCATAGGCCAGGTCTACAAAATTTTAAAATTTTCAAATCTATTTCATATTCTGTTTAATTAATTCAAATTCACATATAATCACAAAAATATTTTATATGTTGTTTTGAATTAATGAAACGGAATATCAAATAATTTTCAATTTTTTAAAAATTTGCATACTAGCCGATTTATGCATCAAGAACCTTTATTTTAATTTAACGATTAACTAAATCATTGAAATTTGATGTAGAACATAAATTATTGAGTGAAATAATTCTAAGTAGACTTAGTCTTAACACACACAAACACATTGAAATTTGATATAGAATATGAGTTATATATTGAGTGAAGTAAATCTAAGTAGACTTAGTCTTCACACACACGCACAGACACACATGACTCTTATTATTAATGAAACAATTTACCTCATAATTTTTAGGCTTAAATGTGTTTTAGTCGCTCTACTTTTTTTTTTTTTTTTTTTTAATTTTACATCCCTATAAAATTTAAAACTATTATTGTAGTATGTGTTATTGCATAATCATTTTTAAAAACTTATTTGTTCAGCAAAAGATTAAGTGACTATTTCATTTGTTCTATTTCCATAATTATTACTGATACTATATATATATATATATATATATATATATATATTATAGTGATTTTTATTTTTTTTATAAGTTCTTAAAATAAATATTATTTATTTACCTTAAAATCATTGTTAAGATTAAGAAATAAACATAGTGATTTTATATTTTGGTGAGACAAAAGTCAAAAAAAAAAAAATTACAAAGATTAAAGTCAAAATTTACTCATTTAACAAGGACCAAAAATATTTTATAAGGATCCAAAACAATGTTTAAAAAATTTATAAAAATAAAAAACAGAGAAAAAAAATTACAAAATTTAAAACCAAAACTTACTTTATAAATGTAACATTGTGCATTTTTATAAATTAGTTGACTTTATTAATTTATGCGTTGTGGTGATATTGTTTTTTATTGTTGAGAAACTATAAGAATTAAAGAATTCTTAATGACCTTTAATTGTTTAGGAGTTTCTTTGAGCATGGGTCAAGTTTGACATGTAACATGGGTATATAAGATTTTCTTTAAGATTTGAGCTTCATAAGTTAAGAAAACTTAGAAAGATAGTTTAGAGAGAAGTGTTTTGGTGTCAATGACATTTCTTTCCCTCTTGTTGACTCCTTTGAGCACTAAATCCTCCCCCAGAGTGTGGCTTATTTGTTGTATTTGGATTCAAGGTTTTGGAGAATCGAGAATTGAGTCGGGAGGATAGTTGTGCGAAGTTGCCTTAGAGAATTCTTGTTCTTCCTTCTTTTCTTTTCTCTTAGAGTTAAAGGTAAAAAAACTAGAATTTTGATTCTTGATAAACTAGTGGAGTTGTGTGTGGTTGATTTCACTCAATTTGTGGCTAGATTGATGAATTGTAAGATGAATTATATATATGTATTGTGGTTTTTGGTGTTTTCTTGCCATGTTTAGAGAAATTGATGAATTGGAGCCTTTTGTTATTGCATGTTGAAATTTTTGTTGGATATGAATTGTTGGTGTTGTATATAAGTTGTTTAGTACCTTGCTTGTCTTAAGTTTTTTAGGTGTGGAGGAGTCAAATTCGTGATTCTACTAAGTGCAGAAATCACCATCACATCGAGTGCAATTTCAAGGTGTTGGGAATGATGCAAGCCAAAGGCTCTTCATCTCACTGACATTGAGCATGAGATTGGTAACATTGGACTTGAGTTCAAGGAGAGCCCTTTGATTTGGTCACGTCGAGCGTGGGTTAAATGGTGTCGGGTGTGAATTCCCTTGGAGCTCTCTTACTTAATAACATTGAACCCTAATTGTGTGGTGACAAGGGTGATCCAGACAGAAGTTCTCTACTTAGACAACGTGGGTGATAGTTTAGTGATGTAGGACATGAATCAGGTAAAGCCTGTTTTCTAAAATGAAACCAAGTGTGGGTTTTGCCCACACTAGACGTGATAGACCTAAGGGCTCTCTACCTTATCCATGTTGGGTGAAGATTGGTGTTGGGCATGGACAAGCCAGAGGCTCTTTGCCTCAATGACACTGGGCACAGGAAAAAAGGTGTCAACATGAGTTGCCTTATTATTTGCTAAGTATTGAACATATTATGAGTAAATAAGAATGCTTATATGTTGTACATTGTTATCTGGTGTTGATTCTTTATACATTTATCTAGGATAATGTATACAGATGATTAAATTATTAAAGTATTGAGGTGTTTGTTTTGAGAATGCTTAAGGCAATAAGTTATGTTGTGTTGATTGACTTGGGACTAGAGGAGAGGTTATTTTAAAAGTTGGATATCAATTATGAACATATTATTTTGGTGCTCTACAAGCCTATTTGTTGAAAAATATTTCTTGAGAAGTTGACTCTTGAAGTGGATAGTTGAGTTTTCTTTGGGACTTTAATTTATGCGGTATAATAGTCAAGTCAAGTCATACCTTCTACAAAGGGACTACAACATAGTTAAGGTCGAGTTATATTGATTATAAAACGATCAATGTTGATCCATATGAGGCAAATTCAAACCATGCATGTACAAAGTGACTAAACCGAGTAAGGTACAAGGTTAGAGGTTCCCTAATTAAGAACTAGAAGGAGTGTAGCATTTGGAGGGTAGTAAATGGGACTAATCCCATATGAGGTTTATAAGTTATGCATACTAACATCGTGGTAGATTCACACCCAAGTTGTTCTATCTTAATAGAAATACTAGATTTTCCTAGTTTAATTAACGAAATCTGAGAAACCATGTTGTTGTGAATTTTTATCCAAATTAGTAGTTGATCTAGCTGGTGTAAAAAGATCGCTTTGTAATTGGTTCAGTAGAGTTAAACCACTTTAGACTACTCATTGTAAGAGGTCTCTTAGTTGAAATGCATGACAATTATTTTAGTTTTTGTGTGGTGCATATGTTGTTGAATTAATGAATGATATGTATATGTTGTGTTATTGTTTGAATAAGTTGTGGTGTTATGGGGTTGTTCAAGTTTAATGTTGTGTTATACTATTCATATGCCATGTGATATGTGACAATTATATTAGAGCGTTGTAGGTTAAGAACTAGTTGTGTTGTATAGTTGAGTTGTTTATGTTAGTAGTATAGTTGTATTTTTCTTCTATAATTGATATGATTAATTATCTTTTGAATGTTAGTTTATCCTTACATGTTTTTTTGTGGTTCAATTGCGATGATCACATTTATATAAGAGTAAGGCAAGATTAGGCCAGAGACAGAGTTTGTTTTGTGAGTCATGTTGGAGGATGGTAATGTTAACCTTTTGAGCTGTCTCAATGTTGCTAGTTAGTCGTTGTAGTGTTGCTTGACCGGCAACCTAAAATTATATTTTAGTTTTTGAATTATTATAAATATATATGTGTACAAGATATGATGTAGTTTCACTGAGAAACATTTTATGATTTTAGTTTTTTTTTTATATTCTTATACATATATTATTACTTATATATCTAGAGATTATTTATATATTAAATCTACGTAATTGTGTTTATATT